ATAAGTGGAGAAAGAGGAATTCCTAATATTCAATATACATATGTGAAAAATGAAACTGGGTGGCTGCAGTGGATGTGTGGGATTGGAAGAGATGGGAGAGAAAGATAAGAAGGGTGATATTGATCATGCATGATACATTGTACTTTAAAATTAGCAGATTGGATTGGAAACCCCTTTGTACAACTACTTAAAGATTATAAAAATTTATTAAGCCAGGCTCTGGTGGTTCACGCCTGTAATCCTAGCTACTCAGGAGGCAGAGATCTGAGGATCTCAGTTCAAAGCCAGCCCAGGCGGGAAAGTCCATGAGATTCTTATCTCCAATAAACCACCAGAAAACCGGAAGTGGCTCTGTAGCTCAAGTGATAGAGCACTAGCCTTGAGCTGAAGAGCTGAGGGACAGCACCCAGGCCCAGAGTTCAAGCCCAACTACCGACAAAAACAAAATGTTTTTAATGTATATTTTTATTGTAAAGATACCGTACAGAGGGGTTACAGTTACATGAGTAAGGTAATGAGTACATTTCCTATCAAGCATTGTTACCCCCTCTTCTGTTTTCCCCTACCATCACTTCCCTCCCAACCTCCCTGACTCTCCCTCCAACCCCCAAAGTTTTAAAGTTCGTTTTCAACATAGTATCTTGTACATCTCATTGTTATAATGAATTAACCTGTATCCTTATTTCAGCTTTTTGTTATTTCCCTTCCCCTCCCCAAATTAGAAAAATGTATATGCAAGATGCAGGGCACTGATATCAAATACAGTGAAAACAGGAATTACATCATGGGGGAAGAACATACAAAAGAAACAAAAGAAATCACACAGTACATTATAAGTACATTAAAAACAACAGGGAGAAAGATAAAACATCTTGTGTCCCTATTTTGTAGTTCATTTTGCTTAGCATCATCTTATATGGTCATATGTTCATGGCTTTTGATCTTTTCTGCTTGTCTCAGACATATACTAGCTATTGCAAATAAGGGAAACCATGGGACCTAAGCTTCTTTGGGCCTGGCTTACTTCACTTAAAATTTTTTCCAAGTCTTTCCATTTCTTCACAAATGGGGTGGTGTCATTTTTGCTGATGGAGGCATAGATTTCATTGTATATATAAACCACATTTTCTTGATTCATTCATCTGCTAAGGAGCATATAAGTTGGTTCCATATCTTAGCTATAGTGAACATTGCTGTGATAAACATAGTTGTTCTGGTAGCTTTAGTATGTGATATTTTTGTGCCTTGTTTGTGATATTTTTGGTAAATGCCCAAAGGAGGGATTGCTGGGTCATAGGGGAAATCTATGTGTTGCCTTTTGGGGAACCTCCATACTACTTTCCAAAGTGGTTGAACAAGTTTACACTCCCACCAACAGTGCAGTAGGGTTCCCTTCTGGTCACATCCCCTTCAGCATCTGTTGTTATTAGATTTCTTGATTATTGCTATTCTAACTGGGGTGAGGTGGAATCTCAATGTTGTTTTGATTGGCATTTCTTTTATGGCTAGAGAAGTTGAGCATTTCTTCATGTGTCTTATTTCCTCTTCAGAGCAGTTTTTCTTTAAGTCTTTAGCCCACTTATTTATTGGACAGTTGTTTCTTTGAGAATTTGTTGTTGGGGGATTTAATTTTTTGAGTTCTAAGTATATTTTAGATATGAGACCCTTGTCCATTGTATGGCTAGTGAAGATCTTCTCCCAATCCATGGGCTTTCTATTGATCTAGCTAGCTATGTTCCTTGCCATGTAGAAATGCTGCAGTTTCATGCAGTCCCATTTGCCCAACCCTTCTTTGATCTGTTGTGTCTCTGAGTCTTTATTAAGAAAATTTCATCCTGTGCAAAGGAGCCCTACAGTTTCTCCTATTCCTTCCTGTAATGTTTTCAGGGTGTCTGCTTTGACTTTGAGGTCTTTGATCCATTTGGAGTTGATTCTGTTGCAGGGTGATATATAAGGATCTAGCTTTAGTTTTCTACAGGTATTTAGCCAATTTTGTCAGCAACATTTGCTGAAGAGGCTGTCTTTCTTCCATTCTACTTTTTTAGGCTCCCTTATCGAAGACTAAGTTTCTATAGATCTGTGGGTTCATTTCTCGGTCTTCAGTTCTGTTCCATTGATCTTCAGGTCTGTTCTTGTACCAGTACCAAGCTGTTTTAATTACTATGGCTTTGTAGTAGAGTTTGAAATTTGGTATTGATATTCCTCCAGCCCTGTTCTTTGTTTTGCTATTCAGGGTCTTTTATTGTTCCATATGAATTTTTGGATTGTTTCTTCTATTTTGTAGAAGAATGAGGTTAGGATATTGATAGGTATGGCATCTAATTTGTAGATAGCCTTGGAAAGTACTGCCATTTTCACGATGTTAATCCTCCCATTTCAGGAGCATGGGATGTTTTTCCACTTCCTTAGTTCTGCTTTAATTTCCTTTTTCAGGTTTATTAAGTTTTCATCATAGAGGTCCCTCACTTGTTTAGTTAACTCTTAGGTATTTCATTTTTTGTGGGGCTATTACAAAAGGAATTACTTTCCTGATTTCAGCCACACTCTTCTCATTATCAGCATAGAGAAAAGCTATTGATATTTGAGGGTTAATATTATACCCTGATACTTTGGTAAAGTTTCAAATCAGCTCAAATAACTTGGGAGTGGAATTCATGGGGTGCTTTAAATACAAGATCATGTCATCTGTAAAGAGGCAGAGTTTTATTTCTTCTTTCCCTATTTGGATACTCTTTATGCTTGCATCTTGTTCTATTGCTATAGCTAGGCAGTCTAATATAAGATTGAATAAAAGAGTGTTGGATCTTGTCAAATGCTTTTCCTGCATCAATTGAGATAATCATGTGGTTCTTATCCTTGCTCTTGTTGATGTAACGAATTATAGTAATTGATTTGCATATATTGAATCAGCTTTGCATACCTGAAATGATGCATTTTGATCATGGTGTATGATTTCTTTTATTAGTTGTTGAAGTCGATTGACCAAAATTTTCTTGAGAAGTTTTACATCGATTTTCATCAAAGAAATAGGTCTATGATTCTCTTTCTTTGATGAGTCCCTGTCTGGTTTGGAGATGAGGGTTACAATGGCTTCATAGAAAGAGTTTGGTAGTGAACTTTCACTTTCAATTTCATTGAAGAGTTGGAGGAGTATTGGTGTGAGTTCTGATTTGAAGGCCTTGTTGAATTCAGCTATAAATCCATCCAGTCCTGGGCTTTTCTTGGGTGGGAGGGCTCTGTTTCTATTTTCATGCTTTATATGGCCCTGTTAAGTTGGTTTAACTCAACTTGATTTAGTTTGAGCATGTCAATATTTGCTAGAAATTCATCCATCTCTTTCATATTCTCATAATAGCATAAATGTTTGAGAAGTATTCCCTTATTATGTTCTGAATCTTGGTTGTTTCTGTGGTGATGTTTCCATTCTCATATCTGAGTTTGTTTATTTGGGTGTGTCCTCTTCTTTTTCTAAGATTTGCTAAGGGACTGTCAATTTTGGTAACTTTTCGAAGAACCCACTCTTTGTTTTGTTGATTCTTTCTATGGTTTTTTTGGATTCTGATTAGTTTAATTCTGATTTAATTTTAATTATTTGTTTCCATCTACTGGATTGGGGCTTAGCTTATTGCTCTTTTTCAAGGAGCTTCAGGTGCCTCATTAAATTGTTGGTTTCAGATCTCTCCAATCTGTTGATGTAGGAACTCAGAGCTATACATTTGCCTCTGTGTGCTGACTTTTGTCCCAGAGGAGCTGGTGGTTTGTGTGTTCATTTTTGTTAAATATCACCAACCTTTGAATTTCCTCTCTAATCTCTTCCATGACCCACTGGTGGTTCAACAGTGTGTTGTTCAGCCTCCATGTTTTACAGGATTTTCTTTGGTGGCTTTTGATGTTGAATTCTAATTTTATTTCCTGAGAGAATGCAGGGCTTAATTTCAATGTTTCTCAATTTGGACAAGTTTGCTTTGTTACCTAAAATGTGGTCTATTTTGGAAAATGTTCTGTATGCTGCTGAAAAGAACATGTATTCTGATGCTGCTGGGTGAAATATTCAGTAGATATCCATTAAGTCTAGTTGATATATGCAGTTGTTTAGATCTGCGGTTTCTCTGTAGAGTTTGCCATATTGATCTATCTATTGGGGATAGTGGTGTGTTAAAGTTCCCAACAATTAATGTCTTTGTACCTATGTATGATTTGAGGGAAAGTAATGTTTCTTGGATACATTTTGTTGCTCCATTATTTGGTGAATAGACACTTAGAATTGTAATATCTTCCTGAAAGAGAGATCCTTTAATTAGTATGTATTGATCTTCTTATGTCTTCTCACTAATTTTAATTTGAAGTCTATTTTATCTGATATTAAGATTTCAACTCCTGCCTGTTTTGGGGGGCCATTTAATTTGAAGATTTTATTCCAGCCTTTCACTGTCAAAATATGTTTGTTTTGGGGGCAAGGTGTTACTCTTGAAGGCAGAAGATAGAAGGATCTTACTTTTTAATCCAACAAGACAGTTTATGTCACTTAATTGGGGAGTTAAATCCATTAATATTGAGAGTTAGGACTTAGAAGTGTTTGGTAGTTCCTGCCATGTTATCCACCTTCTTGGGAGCTGTGACAACTGGGTTCTTCCTATGATTCTTAGATTCTCTGTTTCGGGTCTGTTTCTTGGCCTTTATTGTGATCTTATTGCTTTTCTATGTATAGGACATCTTTAAGTATCTTTTGTAGGGCTAGTTTGGTGGAGATACATTGTTTCAATTTTTCTTTGCTGTGGAAGTTTTTTATTTGACCTTTGGTTATGAAGGAGAGTTTAGCTGGGTAAAGTATTTTTAGTTGATATTTGTTTGTCTTTAGGGCATGGAATACATCATTCTAGTCTCTTCTTGCCTTCATTTGTCTCTACTGAGAAATACCTTTCCCTTGGTTTCCTGGCCATATATGGTCTGTCACTGTTTGTGGTCAGCAGGGTAAAGATTTCCACTCCTATCAATTCTTGATGGCTGGAGTAGAATCCACTTGCACACTGCCTCTGGTGCCTTTGTCCCGGGCCCTCTGTGTTGATATGGCAGCCATGACAGCAGCTGCCGCAGCCATGGACTCCAGTAAGTGCTCAAATCTGTCTCCTTAATCAAGCTGCCTGAATTTTCCTCTCTTGCCAAACTCTATGTGCTATGATGGTACATTTGGTGTGACTCTCTAGCCTTCGATTTTCCACTGAAATGCTAAAACTGGTTTCTACATGAGAGCTTGTTTAGCTCCCAGCTTCTCCTCCACCATCTTCCTCTGCACTCTTCTAAAAATGTTTTTAAAAAAAGAATTCCAATCCTGCATTCTTAGCAATAATGAATATGCTTAAAGTTAATTATGAGACAAAAAAATTTGAGGAGTTATTTTTTTCTTTCTTTTGGAGAATTGAACCATAACACATTCTTATAAACTGTGAACATCATAGCCACACTCACACACAAATTCATGCTTGCACACACACAGGCAAACATGTACATACACACATTTGAATTTTCATCAAGCAAAGGAAAAGTAATACCTGTTCAATCTATAACCTACTTTAGTCAGTATTGAGAGACAGGCAGACAGACAGACAGACAGAGACAGACAAAGGAGCTCATAATTTTAGTGGTGGTGGTTATTTTAGGATCTTCTGGCTGGCTTGGGGCTCAGGTCCTAGCCATTTACACACAGACTTTATGCCACAAGATGATTAAAATTGACAGCTGACAAAGCATACCTATTTAGAGAACCATTTCTCCTTTGCCTGGTTGGGAAAATAAACCTTAAAGTAACTGAGTCCATTGTTCATTTCATTTTCCCAGCATACACTTGGTTCATAGCTGACCCAATCTATAAATGCAAGTCATCCAGCCTCTAACTCAAGGGAAGAAAGTGGGGAAGCCAAGGGATTAGGCAGGTCCAATTCATCACCCAGAAAATAAGCAGGGCCTTGCCGGTGTCGAGGTGGAGAAGATAGTGACTGGGTTATAACTTAAGACTCTCAGGCGCAGTTGTTGAGTGGGACCCAACCAATAAAAGCTTGACCTTGAGGAACAAAGGGAATCAGAAGACAGATGATCCAGCCCAAGGGTTTTATTCTCTGTGAAAGGAGAGCTGGCAGTGTTATCCCTTGTGATTCTCTGCTTCTCCACTTTACAAGGCAAATGAACAAATACATTCTCACTTAATCCTTATGACCTGGTTACTGAAACAGTCCCGATGATTTCAAGGGACATTATTCAACTCTCACTTTATCATTGCCTGAGTGCTGTGTATTTTTTTTTCTTTCTGAACCCATGTTTGTTTTCAATATTACCTGCCTCTGGTGAAGCTTGGTTATTAAAGCCGATAGTCGTGAGGGGGGATTTTTTTAAGAAAAATATCGGGCTGGCAGTCTATCAAGCACAGGAAGCATGACTTTAAGGTGCTATAATACCTTCTAACTTGTGTTGTCAACTAACCAAAATCAAATCAGTACTGCTCTCCATATACCTGCCTGTTCTGAGAACACATTGTGGTTGCCAATATTTTTAGATGTACCTCCAGTGTGAGGTGAAAGGTCTCCCAAGAAAATCAAGCTTTCGTCTTTATGGTAACATTTTGTTTTGAGCTAAAGGCTTTATTGCTAATTGTTCAGACCTGCCACTCTTAAGTTATTGCAGCAAAATGAGCTTGGCTCTTTCAACAAATCTTATATTGTAAAAAGATTTGTCACCTCTGAATACATTCAAAAGAACATGATGCTGACTCTATACAGGAGCCCCTCTATTACCCATAACCAGGAGTTTCTCTAGCAGAAAGGTGATGGCAGCTCATTGCTATTGTATCTCAGTTACTCTGGAAATGGAGACTGGCAGACTTATGGTTTTAGATCACTGTGGGCAAAAATTGTTACTGGGACTCCCTCTCAACTAACAACCTAGATGAGATGATTCACACCTGCAATCCTAACTATTGGGAGGTTTGGGGTAGGAAAATTGTCATCAGAGCCCAGTCATGGAAAGGAAGTGAGACTTTATATTAAAATTAATTAAAGCAAAACTAGGGGAGGGCCCTAGCAGTAGAAGTGTACCTGCCTAGCAAGAATCGGACCCTTGAACTTAAATGCTAGCGGTGCCCCAAACTAGCTTGATTCTAAACAATAATTTCTTGTGTATTATTATTTATAGGTAATCATTTCTCTAACATAATGACTACCAGTCCCTTGTTCTAGAAAAAAAATATATAACTGCAATAAAAAAAATTTCCTTGAAACTGGAATGTTGCTCAAAGGACATGTTCTTTTGTTGGGAAAGTTCTTTGAAAACTACCTGGAGTGCAAGTTAAAAAGAAACCTACTTCCATTGTCTGCCCACCTTCCTGCCAAGCATCCAAATTCCAGGAACAATTGATGGTGACATTTCTGCAAACTGCCCACTTCTTGTTTTGCTGAGTGCTGTATACAAGTAAGCTGAGGATGGTAGCTACATTTATTGACCAAATAAAGAGAAATTTCTTAGAATTCCTGGGAAAGAAGGAAGTGGGCTAGGAAGAGGAGCTCTAAATGGGAACATAGTACTCTATTAAGCAACTTTATTAAGGAAGATATGCTATGGAGCCTCTTCCCCATCACACAGCTGATTCATCAGCAAAAATTCTAGGCCTCACAGATATTTGATTAAAATTGTTTCAGAACAAGAATGCATGAGGAACAGAGCTGAGGTAATGCATAGGAAATCTAGCCTGTCAAAATAATTATAGCATCTAATTTAAAGGGTTTTTGTCTGGTTTTTTTTTGAGGGGGGGGAGCTTTTGTTGTTGCTGTTGTTTATTTATTTGTTTGTGTCAGTATTAAGGTTTGAACTCAGGGCCTTGCACTTTATATAGCTTGCATTTTCACAGCTGGTACTCTACCACTTTAGCTACACCTCTAGCCTTGCTTCTTTTGCTAGTTAATTGGAAATGTAGTCTCTTAGACTTTATTGCCAAGATTAACTTCAAACTATGATTCTTTAAATGATCCTCTACATGTCAGCCTCCTGAGTAGCGAGGATTAGAGGTGTGAGCTACCAATGCATGTTACTTGGTTTTATACAAATATAGGAACAAAAGAAGTCTCATTTGAAATAACAATGCTTCAGTACCTCTTTTTATATGTGTTTTTGTTCACATCTTTCCCTTAGACTATCAGAAAGGATGACAAATTAATATCTTTATCACTGGTGATAAAGATATTAACTGGATAAATGTGATCAATTGGTACATTTTATCTAAAAGGGACAATAGCTATCCTTTTTGATGCTTCCTTCTAAGTCACATGACCTAAGAGACTACAAACTGCATTTCCATGACTCCCTTAGAGTTTAGAATATGGAAAAAATATATTGTGAGTTAGTGAGAGGAACTCATGCAATATTTGGAGGGTAAACAAAGTTGGGCAAGCCAGTCAGGACTAACATCCACAGATTTATTTTGGTTTGTTTGCGTGTTGTTGTTGTTGTTGTTGTTCTCGTTGTTACTTGCTTGTATCATGGAAGACTGCAACAGAAGCAGACACAGCTTGATGATTTCCAGAATGTTACTTCTGTATCTGTTCAGAAATTTGTAAGTATTGAATTTCTTAGCTAGAACCTTGTCCTGACTGAAGTACCTATCAGACATTACTTTCATAGCATCTGGACTAATAAATACCATTGTAAATGAGCCATAGGAATAGATATCTGGATTTAAACCAGCAATGGTTTTGATTGTAATCAGCATGATCTCTATCCAAATTTTTCATCCAAAGAAAGAAAAGTAAATGTCTTTTTGCTATCTTAATATATTCAGTTCTATTAATATTTACAAAACACCCACTAGGCAATGACACTATGTGTTCAATTTATGAAAAACTTTACCACCATGGGGTAAGCAATTATACATTTGAAAGTATTTGATCCCCATCAATAAAACAGAGCCATTGACATAGTCAAATTGAGCAGAAATGCCTTAGGAATTGGAGTGGGCTTTGTACTATGGCCTTAAGGTCAGTGTGTAGGCCTCTTAAAGCAAGGTAAATTTCTTTGCTCACTCTCAAGCAAGGCATACCTAGGATATGTTTCTTTTTCTGTCTCCAGATTCCAATAATATATATTTTTTATTTTTTATTCCTTCCCTATCTAATTACTCCAATTGGAGTATTTTGAGCTCCAAGGAGATTTTTCTGGTCCCCTTGCAATCATCTATTATTCTATAATTCTCAGGCTTAGTCTTCACTCTCCTTGGCATGGCACTTTGATTCTTATTTCTTTTTTATTTTTCTGGATGTAGTTACATGTGGCACTTCCTCTGAGTCTATCCAGTATGTGAGTTCAAGATGGCATTTTTAGTTTGGCTTTTTGTTTATATGCATGTTGTGTGTCATCATGAATCCTCAGCAGCTAGCACTTGATATTTGGTAGGCTGTCAATAAACACATCAAAAAAAAAAAGTTCAGGGCTGGGAAGGTGGCTCAGTGGTAGAGCACTTGCCTTGCATGCCTGAGGTCCTGGGTTCCATTCCTCAGCACCACATAAGCAAAAAGAAAAAAGCCGGAAGTGGCACTGTGGCTCAAGTGGTAGAGCGCTAGCCTTGAGCTGAAGAGCTGAGGGACAGCACCCAGGCCCAGAGTTCAAGCCCCACAACTGTACCCAAAAAAAAAAAAAAAAGTTTTGTTATCAACAGATATTGGTCCACAAAATGGCTGTGGACCCTTGACATAATACAGAATTTTATGGAATTAGTTTCCCAATCCCTTTATTTTCCACAATGGCTACATGCCTAGTTCTTGCCAGTCAAATATGAACAGAAGTGACATGGATTCTTTCTGAGATGTTGTGTTCAAAATAGGTCTATTTCCTCTTTGATGGCCTGAGATAAAGAAACCCAAAGCTGGAGATGGGAAGGTGGCTTAGTGGTAGAGCGCTTGCCTTGCATGCATAAGACCCTGGGTTCAAGTCCTCAGCATCACATAAGCAAAAAAGAAAAAAACCCAGAAGTGTCACTGTGGCTTGTGGTAGAGTGATAGCCTTGAGCTGAAGAGCTGAGGGACAGCACCCAGGCCCAGAGTTCAGGCCACACAACCAGACCCAAAAAA